CCGATAGACCCCATGCCGCCTGACCTACCCCCAGAAAGGGCTCAGACACCCAAAGAGACCCCAGATGGATCTGCCCCGGTCACCCAGCGGGACTTTCAAAATCTAGTCGGGGAAAGTAAAAACCTCCTGGCAACCAGCATAGCGGCCATTAAAACTGCAGACCGCAGAGGTGGACATCTCTGGCATTAAGCAGGGACTGACAACCCTACAGGAATCTGTCCTGGCCCTAGAGGTCCAACAACAGGCACTCTCTCTCCACTACACTGCCCTCAATGACAGAACGAGGCGCAACCATATTAAGATCAGGGGAGTGTCAGACGCCATCACACCTGACGAACTGCCTCAATACATGATGCACCTTGTCGCTGCCGTCCTGCCACCAACGCATGCCCAAAAATTTAACACAGACAGGCAGAGCAGCCCCAAACATGGTCCGTGATGTGATTGTCCGCTGCGCCACCTCCCAAGACAAGAGAAGCCTGATGACGGCACTCCGGGGCAAGGCACCTTTAACATTTGAAGGCGCACAACCAGGGCCGGACTGGGAAGATAATTCGGCCCGGGCATTTTTTAATTACAGCGGCCCACTACAAAGGGGGCGGGGCCAGATAGGGTGTGTGCTGTGCATGTCAGGGGTGCAGTGTGTGGGTGCTGTAAGTGTTAGGGGTGCAGTGTCTGTGTGTGTGTGTGAGGGTGCTATAAGTGTTAGGTGTGCAGTGTGTGTGTGTGAGTGAGGGTGATGTGAGTGTGTGTGTGTGCTGTGTCAGGGGTGCAGTGTGTGTGAGTGAGGGTGCTGTTCATGTCAGGGGTGCAGTGTGTGTGTGTGTGTGTGCTGTGAGTGTCAGCGGTGCAGTGTGTGTGTGCTGTGAGTCTCAGGGGTGCAGTGTGTGTGTGTGAGGGTTCTGTAAGTGTTAGGTGTGCAGTGTGTGTGTGTGAGTGAGGGTGATGTGAGTGTGTGTGTGTGTGTGTGCTGTGTCAGGGGTGCAGTGTGTGTGAGTGAGGGTGCTGTGCATGTCAGGGGTGCAGTGTGTGTGTGGGTGCTGTGGTGTCAGTGTGTGTGTGTGTGTGTGTGCTGTGAGTGTCAGGGGGTGCAGTGTGTGTGTGTGTGCTGTGGTGTCAGTGGTGCAGTGTGTGTGTGTGTGTGCTGTGGTGTTGGGGTTGCAGTGTGTGTGTGTGTGCTGTGAGTGTCAGGTGCAGTGTGTGTGTGTGTGTGTGTGTGCTGTGAGGTGTCAGGGGTTGCGGTGTGTGTGTGGTGTCAGGGGTTGCAGTGTGTGTGTGAGTGTCGGGGTGCGGTGTGTGTGTGTGCTGTGGTGTCAGGGAGTTGCGGTGTGTGTGTGTGTGTGCTGTGGGTGTGCGGTGTGTGTGTGTGGGTGTCGGGGTTGCGGTGTGTGTGCGTGTGCTGTGGGGTCGTCGGGGTTGCGGTGTGTGTGTGTGCTTGTGAGGGTGTCAGGTTACGGTGTGTGTGTGTGTGTGGGTGTCAGGGAGTTGCAGTGTGTGTGTGTGCTGTGAGGTGTCAGGGTGCGGTGTGTGTGCTGTGAGTGTCAGAGGTGCAGTGTGTGTGTGTGTGCTGTGAGTGTCAGGGGTGCAGTGTGTGTGTGTGTGTGTGTGTGTGAGTGTCAGGGGTGCAGTGTGTGTGTGTGTGTGTGTGTGTGTGAGTGTCAGGGGTGCAGTGTGTGTGTGAATGAGGGTGCTGTGAGTGTTAGGGGTGTCTGTGAGGCTGATGTTAGTTAGGTGATTATTTCCCCCCTCCCTGCTTACCTTTAGCCTGGGAGGGGGATCCTGCTGCTGGGGCTGCCATCCATCCCTGGTGGTCTTAGTGGTGAGTGAACTCTAGCCTGTAAGGCTAGAGTTCACTCTCGCGAGACCCGGAGCGTTGCCATGGCAACGCTCCGAATCTCGCGAGATGAACCCGGCGGAGCTGTTAGTTAAAGCTCCGCTGGGTTCCTCTCCTGGCAGGCTGGCTCCCTCCCTCTCTCCCCCGGCGGCCGCACTATCCTGCATGTGGGCCGGTGGGGAGATCTCTGATCTCCCCACCGGCCCTCCATGGACTACTGCAGGGCCGGCGTTCAGATAGCGCCGGCCCTGCAAAGACCGTCAGGAGAGATCATGTGATCTCCCTGCCGGCCTCGGCCCCACGGCCACCGCGGCCCACCGATGGCCAGTCCGGGCCTGCGCACAACTCACCGTTTATCAAGACCTCACCAGATCCACGCTGCAATGGCGAAGGGCGCTGAACCCGGTCACCAGCGCCCTCAGAGAAACGGGATTAGAGTATCACTGGAGATCTCACGGGTTCCTGGTGGTCACGCACAAGGGAACTGTTCATAAACTCTCCACGCTAGCGGAGTTCCCGGCATTCTGTAGGGCACTGGGCCTTCCCACACCCGCGCAGGATACCACCCAAAGACCCACGTCAGATACCTGACTTCCCCGAGAGCCGAATAGGCAACAATAACCGGGACAAACACTGTTCACCCCCAGACGAGATGCCTCTAACTAGCTAGCCCTGAGACATACCCAGCCCACTTGTTCCCATCTCAAAAGGAAGGATCTGCCGCTCCATCCCCAGACACCCCCCTCCCCTTCCGGCCCCTTGCAGGCATAGGGTAGGTTTAGAAGAAGGCCCCAAATCTACAACCCGTACAGGTTGCATTAAATCCACACATATTTCAAAGCCGTTCTCCCGGAGCAGTTCACACACTCCTGATAATGTACCAGGGCTGGTCCACGACCTCTATGGCACATCCCCATTCTCACGTTTATGCTCAACCTGTACTGTAAAACCTGTTTAAGTGTATTAAATGTTCAATGTGTTGCGGGACCCGCATGGGTATGTTTTTAAAAAAAATGAAAAAAACTCAATAAAAAGAGATAAAAAAATAAAAATAAAAAGGTGGACCATAAAGGTCATTTACTAAAATGAGTTACTTACTTTTTATTTTTTATCTTCCTATTACTAACTTTGTTATTATTAACTAACATAAAATTCTTGTAGAATGCCCATTGTTTATTGATAAGGGCACATTGAATGGATGTGCACGGAAACAAGCCTTAAGAAACATTTCATTTTTTTCCACTATGGATTTGCAAATTGTACAATCTAAAACTTTTAATATATTTTGTTGATGATGTAGTGTCTAGGTTTTGTAACATAACGCATTATGGCTACGATTTAATATTTTTGGAAAAAACGTTTTCTTATGATTTCACAGTTTTACCTAAACTTTTTTAAAATATTAAAATATTAAAATAACGATATCCTATATAAAAAATATTTTAGAAAAATATCAAAATATTAAATATTTTTTTAAAATATTAAATGCTTTTTTAAAGTTTACCCCAAAATATTAAATCATTTGAAAAGCTTATCTACAAATATTAAATTAGGACTTATAATATTGGTCTGCTGTTCACAAAATCCAAGTATACATGCTGTTATTATATATATATATGTACTGGAAATGTAAGCATTGACTTAATAAGCATTACAAATTATTTCATATTTTTAGAATAACTTTTAAAACGATTTCTTCAAAATGTTAAAACATCAAGAAATGTCACATGTAAGCAATCTATAAATATGTCAAACGTTTTAAAATCCTAAAATATAGTATGAAATAATTTGAAAAGCATTTTCAAAAATATTAAGTTGCGGCATTAGTCATTAAAGTCACAGTCACCCTAATTTGTACTCTATGAATGATTTCTAGCCTGTACAGGAACAACTTTCTCTGCAATAAACCACTGGTAATTTATTTAATGTCTAATCACTAATTTAATGTCGTAGCATGATTGATTTTTGATGCTGCACTTTAGCTTGTGAATCTTCGATCTCGGCTTTAGGATCTTTAGTTGGCAACTAGAGCTATTGTACTACTTATTTCTAGATATGTATTCAGTTTCGTAGCGTAGATGCTCTCGAAGGCGCAATTAGGGTATTTAGACAGCACTTCAGGTTTACTCAGTATTACATGGCCTCGAAGACATACAGTCCAGATTTAATATACCAGAGTAGTGCTTTTTTCTATATATATCTTTAAGATTGTGTTTTTTCTTTGTAACAATGTTACTCCTTTCTACTTTGTAACTTGGACTGTTCAAGTAACTTTTTTCGCTACAAGCTAATATTCTAAGCATCGTCTAAAATCTTTAGTACCGTTTATGTAGTTTCTAGTTCCTCTTTTTGAATTTGTATTTCTATATTGGTTTTGAATGTGATTTGTTTTGATATTAAATGACTAATTTAAGTAATGTTTTATCACTATATGTAATATTCTAGTTATGGGAAAACCAGGTGTTTTTTTCTATGTATTTCTTGTTAGGGGTTACTCCTCTCCCTTTCCCTTAGAACTTCTATTTCCTTTTTTGGTCCTAATGTATTTAAGTGTGCTAACAATGATCTCACCCTACCTTCCAAACTGTAAAGTAAGTTTCAATGAGTTATACCATTCCTACAGTCAGGCAGGGGGAAGAGTGAGTATTTTCTACCATTTCGAAGTTAGCATTACATCAGCGTGTTAATGTTTGCAGAATTTACAAATATGTAATTAAACTATACTTACTGTATGTGGACGTTATGAACATGCAATTATTCTTTTTACATTCTGTTTCCATTTTCGGTAAGCTGCACTGCTAATAATGCCTTCACAGTCCTTGAAAATAATTTGACCATTTTTCTATATCAATTGTTATCACACCTACTGTATGTGAGATTTTTTTTTTATATACTACCATTTCAGACCCTATGTGAAATATATCAAGATAAAGGACACTGCATAATGTCTAAACTTTCTATTCTCAAAATGTTCAATAAAGGATGACTAAATGAAAAATAAAAAAATGCATTTACATTATTTTTGTCATTAAATTTCTCTGAAACAATCTATACAAATTATCACTGTTGTATTATATATGTATGTGCTAGCTCTGCATTTCCAAAATGTATTTTTTTTTACCATTGATAAACAAACACATACAGACAACGACTCAAATAAATAAAATGAAGAGTGCATTTTTAACATTTATTAAGATAATTTCCAAATCAGTACAAAAATTAAATACAAAAGTATTTGCTGTTTTCTTTTGGAAAATCACCACACATGGCCAGTGTTTGGAGGAACATTCATTGTTCACTAGCATTTTATAATATCTTTGAGATTTAGATTTTTGATACATTCATAACCGTATCTTAGTATTAACTCCAAATTTAAAGCATTAAGTCCCGATGATGCTCTATGTTGTTATAACAATCATGATTAAAATGCCCTTCTACTCATTTAGAAATAGTAACGTTCTTCCGATATGATGTTAAATACGTTGGACATTCTATCCTGGTATAGTGTTTTCAAGGACATAATGCGAGGGCAACATAGAAGTCATTGGTCATCAATGGGTTTAAATAACAACCCTGCCAGTTATATCCGCACATACAATAATCTTGTTATTTAATGGTTTCAAGGGATAGAGAATTGTTCATTTGTTGCCTCTGTTCTTCAGCTAAACAAATCACAACCAAATGTAGCTATATATTCTTTGTTTTACAATTCTTTTAAATAAACATAATTCATGTAATAGGTTTAGCACCATTTAAAGATACAGTATTTATTGAGTACTTGTTTTTGTGCATTTCACTCTGTGCATTTTATTAGGATACTAGTTAAAAAGTTTGAATTCAGGAATAAAAAAAAAAACTACTAACAATAAATTATAAAAGGCTTTACTTGAAATAGAACTACGGAAACTGCCCTGCAATACCTATGGATGTATGTATATACTGCAGACAGCACTAAGCTATTTGTTTCAGATGTAATATGAAAAAGACATCACACTGAATATCAAAATATCCACCATTTTATATATTAAAGAAGTTGAGTTTAAAGTTTTGCATCAAATATTTTTGTTCTGTTTTTGCATCATATAAAATCATAGTATGATCCAAATAATTTTAATAGAGCGGTTTAAGCATTAGATATAAATGTGTATGGAAACCATATTAAATTAATCACTATTGGATATGAATTATTTTGTGTAGTAGCCAAAAAAGAATTCCTGTAGAATGCTCATTGTCTATTGGTTGTTAGTGATAGTTTCGCTAGCAGCAGAACTATGGAAATTTCAAACACTATCCATTATTAGAAATATAGCTGCAGCATAAACAGTGTAAAAAATACATAATCAAATCACAAATTAAATTTAATAGTGATGGCTTAACTGAAATCCTGAGCAGTGCCCTTTAAACTTTCACACAGTCTAAACTATCTCTACATCTTTTGGATCGAACGTGCCATCAGACAAATCGGATCAGGTTAAACAAAAACAACAAAAAGCATTGAGTGAAGAAAATGACTTAACTGTAAGTCATTTTGGGACGATTCCCCCGATCTCTGTGTACAGTGGAGGCACATAGGGTAACTTCTCCAACTGATATTACCTGGGGATTAGCAAGGATTAACACCTTTTCCGAAATTTGCATCCAGATGATTATTATTGGCCCCTAGCTAAATGTCTACTGGCCTTGATTTATATAAAGTTGCTACTGGCTACCCTATTGTTAGCACATTCCTTTAACTTCCTCTCTGCTGCAGGGTTCTACAATATT